CACGCCCTAAGATCAGTAGTTATAAAAGCTACCAACTGATAAAAAAAGTGTGAAGCAGACTCACAGGGAGAGCTTATGTGGACGGGCAAGAGAGATGGAACGTGCCCTGTGTTGGGGTTAGTGTTTGTTTCTCACATGCCTGTAGCCAAGAGGGTACCAAAAGCCTACATGGAAGGTTCCCTGAAGGCCCCAAAATGACATCAAACCCCTGTGACATCCCGTCGCACCATATTGCTTACTGTCCATTCTAAAAAAAACAATTCGGCCATCAGTGATGCTGCGTTGGTGTTTGGCAGATGAGCCTCATAGGTGGGCTGATTAAACGGTCATGATCCGAGTCAGACATACACACTGAGCCAAGAGGCTTTTTGTTGGCGCAGCATATTACAGGTATGCAGCTACCAGAATTACAGTGTTTCTGCTGCCTTTACTCTACATCATTATACCACACTTATGCTGCGCAGTACACACTGGTGCCATCAGGAAGTACCCTGCAGTAGTATTTCACAGGACCAAAACTGGCTTCATTGATCTCCATTCAAACCTTCGGGGTGGCCTCGTCCAGTAATATACTTTCTAGGCCTGTAGCGTGACGTCATTCTCCTGGCTGCAGCTGCTTGTCACTAATCGGCTGCAGAAAATAAGAAACCCAAAGAGTCGGAGAGGAAGGGGGTTGGAGTTCTCTGCAGACTGCAGTCTAGCAGTGACAGACCGACGCTCGTCTCCTCTATGAAACGTCTGGATGCTCACGGCGCTGCATTATTAGAAACTATGATGAACTGGTCGTAGGTCACATCTCTCTCTCGTCCAGGCGCCGTCTCGTTCTCTTCTCATGCATTAGCTCCTGCTGTTGACTGTAGCTGCTGAGGCTGTTTTCACATACAGTTTGTTGGAGTTCAAGTTCGCTGTCTGCTGTAGTGTAAAACATTCCCAAATTGTTGTAAATTGTACGTCACTAGGATTGAAAGACGGGGGGGCTTAGCCTCCAGGTTATGCGTAACCTACGCTTGCAAAATCTTTGCACTCTTTGTTACTGTATTAGAGCTACACTTATGTCAACAACCACTGAAGAAGCCAAGATGTTAACAAGTAAAAAGCAACAGGCACCTTCTCTTCTAACATTTCTCCTCTGTTGAACAAAAGTCACGGTGATGTTGGGCCAAACTGTGCTCCTGCTGAGTTCTTCTGTAGGCTATGAAATAAATGCTATCTGCAAGCTCATGTAACTGTGTGATAAAGTAATACTATATCTAATTCCTCTCTCTATTTGATAAGTTGCATGTCCAAAGAATGCAATTTAATTACACTAATTAATGTTAATGCACTGTAGATTGGTTCAATCAGAGCGCTCTGTAGTTCGGCTTGTGTAAAAGCATACAATAAATACTTTATCATGTAAGTTGTTGATAAGTTCCTATTTAAAGTGGCTAGTGTCTGAATTTAATAACCTGATGGTGGAATGATTAAATTCCAAATTGGACATTTTCACTTAGAGGTGTCCTCACTTTTGTTGCCAGTGGTTTAGACATTAATGGCTGTGTGATGTGTTATTTTGAGGGGACAGCAAATTTACACTGTTGTACAAGCTGCACTCACTACTTTACATTGTAGCGTAGTGTGTCATTTCAGTGTTGTAACATGAAAAGATGTAATATAAATAAATATTTACAAACACTTCAGTGGTGTACTCACTTTTGTGAGATACTGAATATGCCTGCTTTCATTTCATTTTCATGTGTGTATGTCTGGGAGTCTATGCTCATGTAAAGCCTAGCATACATTTAGGCACCATCTACATATTTATTTAATTTATTACAGCCAATGAATACAGAAAGTTAAGTTGGTAAGAATATAGCAAATAATAAAATCATGAAATAATTTAGTTTAGGCTATACCTTGGTTCCCTAGACCTGTTAGAAGAAAACAAAACACCTTAGATCTGTAGACCACTACTGCCCTGCCAAACTGCCTCTCTCTCTTTTTCCTAAAATATTTTCCAGAAATGAAGGATATACCGGTACAACAGCTTTAACAGGGACAACATAACATTTATTTTTCACAGACAACACCATTCTCTGGGGACTGATATTGTTTTGAAATGGAGATATTAACGGTGTTCCCGCCAGCTAGAAATGTAGCTTATGTTCAGCAAGTAACAGTAATTAACAACAGCTTACAGTTTCACTCACTACATTGAATCAATCTTCATGGTCAAGAGCCATAGTCGTCAGTTTGTGATGCACTGGGGATGCCTTTACCGTCACAGATCAACGCACTGGGGAAACCCTGTAGCGTCAGTTTTTGACGGTAAAGGTAGGTATTTGATATTTAACAGAAAAGACTGAGTTAGGAGGTGGTTGGAGTGAAGGGAGGGCCAGAACCCGGACTTTGAACCAGGAGACTGGGGTTCGTGTCCCTTGGGAAACAAAAAGTCAACATTAAATATTTTTATTTAGGCAAGTTACGTTAATTGACGTAAGTGACGTTAGTTAACTTACGTGTTAACTGACTTACGTAGTTATTTTAATGCAAACTATGACCTTTTCTCAACCTTAACCAAGTAGTTTTGTTGCCTAAACTCAACCAAGAACTTTTTGTGCCTAAACCTAACCAAACTGTAACGTTTCACAACTTTAATAACGCCTCGTTTAAAAATGGCGATGTATGGAAACGCTAGCGTTTTATTTTGAAAGTGTAACCGGACGTTGCATATTTATTGTTGCTAACTTTACTGAAGTTGTATATTTGTTGTTTCTAAGTGTTGCTAACTTGACCGTGGAGCCCTAAACATCAATAAATGAAACAAAAGGGGTACCCGGGCGGTTAAGAGGCAACGACAAAGGATCTTGACCAAGCGCCAATATGTGACGAGTCGGGAGTGAGAACGTGTTGGTAGTCAGGGCGACTTAGGACCCTTTTAAAGTAGCTTCAGCCCCCCTAAAATAGGCCTAACCATCAGCTATATAGTATGACATCATTATATAGCCTGACCTTCTCTCTGCGTCCCTGTGTAGGAAACCAGTGTTGATTGGCACAATTTTCACTCCTTGCTGTATTTCTCTGGTATAATTTTAATACGTGGGGTTGGGTAGGGCCCCACATTTGCTCTTAAAACTGGCCCCCAGATGCTTAAGGCCACCCCTGCAGGTGATACACGATGATATCATGATTGAACATTTACTATTGACATTTTCTAACTTTTACGCAAAACATCTGGAACCTTAATCTGTGCAAAGCATTTGGGCCCTTGCTGATTTCAAGGTTTACCAAGGTTGAACTGGAGCTCTGCGTAAGATCCACAAGTGAATCACAGAAACTTTGGCTTTAAACATATTATTATTATGCAATAAAACACATAAACTGCAATTTTAACCACAAATTAGAAACAGTGTTGCTTAGATAAGAGGCTTTGTGAAAAACTGAAGTCTCTGGACTGCTCACTCGGTGCAGTCTGTCAAGTCCATAAGGTACAGCACATCCGCAGTTCTCTACTTAAGTACACAAAACCATAAACACAGGACACAAATGAAGCCGTTAATCAAACGTTTACAGAACCTTTCACCATATCAATATGCATTAGGTGCTGACTGATTGCCATTTGTCAAATTAATCAATCCCCACGTCTGAACTCAGCTGCCATTAATTCACTGATGAGTAGGGTCATAGCAAATTCCTCACACACATAAATCTTCGCCTGTGATCCAAAAATAACCACCCAGCTCTGCTCGCCTGATGACTCTATAGACAGAGTAAAAACTAAAAACACAACGATGATGAGAAAGAATTTTTATTTTCCATTGTCTCTTCGTCTTTATTTGGACAGAAGACATCAAATTGACTCTAGGACTCCATGTAGCAGTGTGTGCTGGAAGTTAGTAGCTATAAAGGCACTCTGGGCTTTGTGTGTTTTGAAAAGGTACAGTTATTACACACAGTCCATTTCAGGTCTCAAGTGAGAAACTGTATTGATTGAGCCACAAATCCAACAAAAGGGGCTTAACACCCACTCTCAGATATCAGTCTAGAAACATGACTCAGCAAGATCTCGCTCTTTTAGGAAAAAAAAAAAAAAAAGGCAATCTGTTTCCCAGAGGTAAGCCACTGTTTTCAATCAGCAGCCAACACACTGCCGCTGCCGCTGCCAGTTCTGGAACTGGAATCAGACCAAGCAGCTACATTGGCCCCATGTTTAACACCTCAACGGTCGTTCTGGGAATAAAACACAAGGGCTCTGATTTCACTTCTGCCTTCCCTTCACCCACTCTGTCCTTCTTCTTCTCCTTCTTTCATATCTCTTCTCTCCTCCTTTTCCTTGCCATTCCTCGTCTCTCGTGGGTTGACTTTTTTTGGCAAGGTTCCCAGGTGAGAGTGGTACGAAAGCAGCACGGAGGAACCGTTATTAAAGACAGCGTGCTCTGATCAGAGACGTTTCAGATCACAGTGACAGACCCTTCTTATCACACCCAGGGCTCACTACTCGGTTTTCCATTTGACTCCCTCAGGAAGACTGGGAAGTCACTGCACATCACCCTAACAAGTCTATTATGTCCAGAACATGCTTTATATCTTCTGTAAAAACCAGCCAACCAGCAGAGAAAATGTGGAGAAGCACTTGGAAAGTTGATTGGTTGACAGTGGGTTAACAGGTCTGCTTCAGTGACCCACTGACACTGCCAGAATTTGTTTAAGCATATCTTGAGCGTTTTAGATATTTGTCACTCGTCCATCTCAGAAAGCACATGTGAAATTCTCCTTAAACACTGAGCACTGAAGCAAATGGATAGTACTGGTTTATATTTTCTGATCAGTCTACTTCAGTGACCAGTGGGACACAATCTTAGCTACATTAAACACAATGCCATGCCATGAAAACTATAATCTCTGATGTGAACTCTATCAAGTGTTCGTGGAATCCAATAGATTGAGACAATGACTGCAGAGTGACTAAAACAATGGACAGAGGGACCCATTCATTCTCGCACTTTATCCAATGAACTCACGGTCATGAAGCCGTCCAGTAGACCAGAGTCAGGTTTGGGTGGAGCCTGCAGTCGCTCCATGGACCATTTCTCGATGATGGATGCGACCTGGCTGTTCTCAGTGTTGAGGATCCTGAAGCCAGTCATGTTCACACCACTGTATCGGTAAGGCTCCACGTCCAGTGCAAACAGATCCTGAAAAGAAGGAAAATACATCAGATATAGGACAGACAGAAGCTCATTGCCCTTTCCAGTCTTTGTGCTAATGGATAATATCCTTGCCTGGACTGATCTCTACAACATGGGGTGGTGATGGTGCATTAGATGAAACACCTTTGGTGAAAGAGACCCTGGTTCAATTCCCACTGTGACACATCCACCAATGTGTCACATTGTTGCTCCAGAGGTATGTGACCTCTGACATGTACAGCAATTGCAAGTCGCTTTGGATAAAAAGCGTCAGCTAAATTAATAAATGTAAATTTACTCTTCCAACACTCGGTCCAAAAGATTAACAGCTGTGTTAGAAAATACCTGGTTCTTTGAAACAAAAGTCAAAGGGACCACCCTGTATGTCAGCTAAATGAATAAATGTTATGTAATACAGAAATATGAAGAGAGACAATTCCAAAAGAGCAAAGTGATGGCCAGAGCATCATCTTATAGTGTTGTCAAATTATCCAGGAGACTCTGCATTTCAATTGAAAAATCTGAAATGGGAATTTGAATAGTGTTTCATAGCATTGCTCTCCATGGTTTGGGTTAGGGCTTCACTTAGATTAAAATTAGGTCATGAATAGGCGTTGCAGAAATCACTGGTAGAGGCAGACAGATGACATGTTATGATCCTTGCCGTAACAGTTCCCCATAATTATTTCCTTTAAAAACGTATAGATTTTGCTTTTATTTATTTAAATAGATATATATAGCAAAAAACTGTCGCTATATAGCTATAATCAGGAGTTGAAAACATAGGGTCTACCCTTTAACTGTCTGCCTGGCAGCAGGTGCTGGTAGCTGAATAGCACGTACAGTCCTGTCATTATATTCACTCTGCGCTGTAACACTTACCCTTACCAACACGGTATTGGTAATATGGATGATTCAGATCCTCTTAGATAACTTAAGAACAATATAGATGGTGAACAATTTATTATATACATTAAAGTTCTTTATGCAAACCCATCTGCAGTTGTGTTATCAGGCAATGTTTAACCATTTGCAGAAGTTCTCGCCAGGGATGCCCGCTGTCTCCTCTACATGTTGTATTAGTAAACTTTCACAGTTGTTTCCTCATATTCCAAGTTATTTTCTGATTTTAGTAGTAGTAGTATTTAGTAGTATCTCAGGATACAAAATAAATTGCCATATTAACTCTAGTGATGATTTAACTCAAATAAATATCCCAATTGTAAACCAATTTGCATTTACTCATTTGGCAGACGCTTTTATCCAAAACGACTTAATTTAACTATTTAGGAAATTAAATTTTCCCAACTTTAGAAACTAAAGTCATCAAAAACTAAAGTTTTAGATCCAAACATACTTGGGGGAGTGGACATCAAGACCTATATCTATAAAAATGATATTATTACCTCAAGTAAATTTTATTTTAGCTCAAGACGCCCCTCCCACTGTTTGTAGGTTGTCCTGCCAACCTCAGCAGGCAATTGGCTGAATTGGGAGGGTCGTCAGAGGATTGCGCTCCCCTGGGCTGAGAACGTGGGCTATAGAAGCTGGCCCATGTTCTCAGTTCGGTCCCTTCTAGCAGGTTACATCTATGCCGTGGCATCTTCTTTTGTGCTTGTGTTTATTTTAGTTTAATAAATTATACTTGTTTTAACTAAGTACCTTGCGTGGATTCCCTCTTTGTCACATTCCCTGAGCCAGTTTGTGACACTCCACAGATTGAGTACTGGGATAGTTTACATTTGATCAGTGGTTTTATATGGAACAAAAAAAGACCAAAGATTAAACTCACAACTCTTCAGAAAGAAAAATCAGCTAGAGGTTGGGGGGGGGTCCAAATTTTAAAGTCTACCATAGATGTTTTTTATTATGTACCATAAAATCTTGGTTAGACCCCACAAATTCTGTATGCTGGCACTCTGTGGAAGAAAATCTAGTTTATCCACATAAATTATAAGATCTAATTTATGCACACGTTCCCTCTAAACAAGCTAAAATGCGTGTTGTTCCCAATTTTTCTAATGTATTGTACAACTACATACAATAATGTATGTACAAATTAGAAACTTACGAATAACAATACTAATTTAAAAAGTTTTGTTTTATCCTTGCAGCTTTGTTTCGTCTTAAAGGCGCATGGAGTACCATGACCTTACAGATCAACTGTACTGTACTAACACCAATGGAACTGTATCAACAAAGTATTCCCAAATAAAAGTAAAAATAAAGTTCCTATAAACCAATTGCAATTCAAACAACTTGGCAATTATTATAGCTCCATTTCCCCTGAAATAGCTTGGGAAAACCCTTTGGAATAATATTAATCGAGCCTCAAAACAGCCTAATTATCCAGCCATTCATTTAAGATTCACACATAAAACTTCTTTAACTCCTAGAATTTGATTAAATTAGAATCATCTCCTCTTTGTCAACTGTGTTCACAAGGCTGCATAGGTACTTTTCTCTGAAGTACAGTCCTTTTTGTTACAAGTTACTGAATCTCTATCTGAAATTCTTAACAAATAGATTCCTAGCTGTCCCTTACCATATCTGTTAAATGATAACTCTCGGGTTCCTATGTCTTTGCATGAAAAAAAAGTGGCTCTCTGCAAAGAAAATCCTGGTAGTACGGTGGAAACCACCACGTACTCATTGGTCAGCTAACCATTGGTGGAAGTTGGTGCTAGATATTCTCACTTTGGAGCGTTCTGTTGCACGGTCTCACAGTGCTAAGGGAAAGACCACAGGGGCTTGGTTAGAAGCTCTTCTAGCTGTTGAATCTCTTGCCACAATAAGGGGGGATTACGCGGTGGGGAGGGGGAGCTACGGTAAATGCCAGTGCCATGAATAATAGGACTGGCTATAGCCTTCCATGTATTTCACCTGACAAAAATATTCATGGTGGGAAATAATACATAATATATACATTTTAATAAAGTTCCACTACATGGCAGAAGGGTTGAATAAACATTATCCTACCTTACTGTAGTCTACATAATGTTATTTTTAGATTCTTGATGTCTTTATGCACTGATTAAGCAACATAAACTGTGTAAATAGGTAAACTTCTAATGTGTTTGTAGGTGTATTTTTGAACTTATAGATAGATTGATAGATACTTGATACTAGATACTAGATCAGGCCAGTGACTGATATACTGACCAAACCTTCCATACAGTATTAGACAAAAAACACAAACAAGGTAAATCTGGCAGGAAAATGGCTGCCATATGGGGCCTCGGTTTGGCTGGGTTGTTTACTCTGCTGGGAGAATTAGGCTGTCAGCACTGGACTCTCTGTCTGCCAAACACAATAGTGGGAAATGACAAGACACCCCTCTGTCTGTTCCTGCTGTACTTCCCCTGACTCATTTATTTAATTGCCTTGCTCAACGGCTGCAGAAAGTATGCACATTTACATTTCATTTCAAACCGAAATGTATCCCTTCTAGCCTCCACGGAGTAAGAACAATTCTGATAAAACTAATACTAATAACAAGAGGCAGAGCCAGACGTTGAGGAGGATTCACCCAGGGCTTTGGAAGCTCCAACCTGAATGGTGATGGTCAGACTGGTGGGGTAGCTGAGCTAGCGTTACTGCAGGCGAGCTGGCTAATATGCTTGCATAATTAGTGCTAGCTGACCCGCTACTGACTGGGAGATATGGGAAACTCCAAATATCAGATGATTCAACATTGGAAGAGACTCATGAGAATATGCCTGAACAGTGGCTCAAGAGAGATCTTTCTAAGGAGAAATGTTTATTTTGTATTTTTCTAAACAGGTCACCATTTAATATTCTTGATGCTCAGTGCAAATTGTTCCTGATGGACAAGGAAAATGATCTGTTGCTGTTTGGTAACTAAAAGTCAGAGACCTGTGTCCAGTTCCTTTCAGGGAAAGTTCTTGAAAATGCCATTTGCCATCACCTTGAAAGTCGTAGTGGTCCCTAGATTTTCCACAGCAAGCTACCTTTCCAGTTTCCCCGCTGCACATGCTCAGCTAGCTGAAATAACACCAGTTATCTTGATGTCACAAAATGCAGTGCTATTATTTTATCTGGCTCTGGAAAACACATTAAAGTGAAAAAAGACTGATCCAAGGTAATAAATAAAAAATATATAGCTGAGAAAATGAAGATTGAAGAGCGGCGTCATCTAATTTTTTTTTGGAGTTCGGAGTAAGGCCTGAGGACAAAGCAACTGTGCAGTAGCTTCTCTCTACTTACCAGTGTGGTGAAGATATAGTGATAATACTCTGTCATCATCCCCATGGCGAGAGCCTAAAAAAGAGAGTGACAGAAGGAGGCAGAGAGAGAGAGATTTGGAAAAGGGAAAGATTTATAAATGAATACGGAGGCAGATCCAATATTTCATCATATTTTACACACACACATGCATGCGTCTGTTTGTGTGGCTGCCTTACTGGCTGTGTTACTATGTAATTTGAAGAGGCATATATTCTGCTGTACTGTTGCAGCCACAGTCGCAGAGATAAGAAACAAAAACCCACCAAAATGGAAAACAGCTAAATAAAGTAAAAGACAGAGCTTGGCCTCAAACATTTGGCGCCTATGCGAGGAAATATAGAGGATAATACATGATTCAATAAATGAGGTACATCTGGGAAATTGGCAGAAACACGTACAAGAAAGTCACCCTGCTGTAATGACGTGCACGGCGGAGTTGTTGAGGGGAGTTTGAAAGCTTTTGTTAATTTAAATTGTCCATATCAAAATGTGAGTGGAAAAACCCTGTAGTGGAAACGTATATTGATTTGTGAAAATACAAACATGGTGGAGAACGCAGAGTCGAGACCCGCCTTCCATTCCCACTGTGACACGTCCACTAATGTGACCCTGAGCAAGTCACTTAACCCCTAAAGAGGTGTGCGACCTCTGACATAGCAATTGTACGTTGCTTTGGATGAAAGCGTCAGCTAAAAATGAGTAGATGTAATATGATCTGTTTGGAACAGACTTTATTGGCACTGTGAAGGTACAAGCAGTTGATCAACATGTAGTATGAACATGTAGTACACCAATTACTGTGAGTGTGCCAGGTTTGTGTTTTCCATCGTTTCACCACACAGATGGATTTGTTAATGCAGGAAGTGGTGTGGCTTTATGTAGTAAAACAGAAGTGGTGTAACAGATCGTAGCTGATAGTGGACCCCCCGCCCCTTATGGTCGGCACGCAGGCGAACAGAGGAGCTATTACGAAGTTTAACCATCAGTTTTACTGCAGCTGTTACTTTTTAAAGTAATAATTCTGTAAATTACGACGCAGAGTTGCAGAGAAAAGATAGAAAAGACAGATGCAAGCAGTGTTTAACTCTGAAGCACAATGACTGGTTTAGGGGAAACCGACTGAAGCCAACGCTTTTAACTCCATTAGGTGATTAAATATACAGGTACAGCATGGACAGAAGACCTAGTCATAGTTTTTGAATGGTATACTTAACAACGTGCTAGTGTTTGTGTTTGTGTCGTCTTGGGCCAGCTTCCGTATTGCAAACACAGAAATGAAATCATCGAATGAATATTGATCTTCTCATGTGGTTTCTTCATATTTTGGGGGGAAAGGCTTGGCTGATGGCTGATAGCTGATGAAGAGTACTTATAATCTCTAACTCCTTGGTGTGTCATGTAATGAGAATATCAGAACAGAACAGTTGAGTCTTTCATTACCTCCCATTAGCAGGGTTTCTCTCTCCCATTATTAATGAAAGGACTCCGTGACCTTCCCCAGCAATCACTCAGGCTTTAAAAACGCTGAGAGTTAGTGCTGGGGGTGAATCATGCAGTCTTGAATATTTCATAAATCCTGCGAGCAGGAGAAATCTAAATGCTTGTTACTCATTGCAAAGTTCCACTTTTATGCCAAATGACATTCTTTTGGCCATGGAAAAGCCAAGCAAGTTCTGTAAACAGCTCATTCATGAACTATTAATGAAATAGATTTAGTGGGACTGGCAGCTCCTTGCAGCAATGCAAGGCAGGTTTTACTCCCTGATTCCCTAAATCTGTAGATTAAATAGACATGTAATTTACAAATAACCTGTCACCAGTTTAAAGCTAAACTGACTCAATTTAGATAAGAGGCTAAGATCTTTGGTGTGCAGTGGTGGACTGGAACAAAAGGATAAATAAAATTTTTTTTTTTTTTAATCAACACTGGCTTATCACTACGGAGCACCTGAAAGGTCACGGTGTTTTCAAACTGCCGCACCCTCAGCAGCTGCATGTGTTGTTATGTTTGGCTGTGACACATTAGTTTGTTGTGTGTGTGCTCTGTGGTGAATTGGTAACAAGTGTCATATCCACTAGAAGCACCGTGGGTTAAAATCATGCTTTTTGGCTAATAAGGGCAGTAAAAAGTAGTCACAGTACAACTACCACCACCATATCCATAGCAACAGAGATTCAACCACAAAAGGAATGATGAGCAATGAATGCGCAAGCGTCATCTCTAAGCTGGGAGTGTATTATAACTGCATTTTATGGTCTGACCAAGAAGATTCCATCATGTAGACAAAGAGATATTTAAGGAGGATAGAGCACAAGTGTTACAATATGAGATAATTTCTTATTCATGTGAATTTGATAATCAAGACATAATCACAAGTAAAAAGTTTGTTATCTTGGGGTAATGAGATGAGGCATAATTGGACATAATTGGTCTAATAACTATTCTTAGCAACTATATTTACTACTTGTAGGTAAAAATTATAATATATAGATAATTTATTTATAACTTCATGTGTTTTGCAATCAAAATCTAGTTTTTCACAAGCCATAACTCTGTTTCCCCGGAAAGTGTTTAACTAATACCCAAGATTATAATAATAATAAATTATTATTATTATAATTATTATAATTAACAATAATAATAATAATAATAATAATAATAATAATAATAATAATAAATTGTTATTATTATTATTAGTAATAAATTTTATTTATATAGAGCCAGTTCATAATAACAGTTATCTCATAGCACTTTACATGTACAGCAGGTCTAGATGTACCCTCTGTAATATTATTTAAAAAGAACCAACAATGAACATAATTCATGGTGTATTTTATATATATATAGTTGGTACAAATTGGCACACACCTGCTTCAGGATCCCAGCAGCCATTTCGTGACCACAGTCAAAGATGATGTGGAATTCCTTCCCCCTCTTCATCTCCTTTAAGAGCGGCTTGGCATCCTTGGTCTCTGCGGGCAGCTGCCGGATCTTTAACCGGATGTTGTACCGGGACGGCGCCTTTATAAGTTCTTGCAGCCGAATCAGACCTTGGGAAAGGGAAAACAATGTGTTTATGTTTTATTTTACCTCAGGAGTTAGTGATATTTGAAACAAGTGCTACATGTGCAGTCCTGCTCCCATGATGGTAATGAATTACCTGGAAGATAAAAAAATGTTATGTATGTTGTTCATTAAAGTGGTTTGGTGATTGATGGATGTTTTGGATACCTTTCTGCTCTCTCAATTTGAGACTGTCCTCTAGAGAAAAACAACAGCATCAGTCTGTTGTTCAAATGCTTTAACACAACAAAATGCTGTCCATGTGCATTATGACTGTTGTCTGTCAGAAGCAAAGGTAGAAGCAGTTCCATCAGGTGGACGCCTGGAAGGATGGATGAACAATGTGTGTGATTTGGACATCTACCCCAAGCATTTACATACATCCTTTTTCCAAACTTCATTCAATTTTGTTTTCTATTAACCATGACCACAATCTTTTCCTAACCACAGACAAGTAGTTTTAATGCCTAAACTTAACCAAAACTCAACCATAGCAGTGGGAAATCAGAAAAGAGTCATATAGATTACATAAAACTTTAATTTTGGAAGGCATTGACAAATGATGTTGTCTTGCTGATAGGGGCACCGCATTAATATGGGTCATTTTAGAAGACAAATGAGTTTTAATAATTTTAGTTGTGAAGATTTGTAGCTTGATTTACTGTATAGTGGCTCTGTCGAAGAACAAAATACAGAAAATATAAAACTGGCATAGAGAACGAGTGTGTTGTAGAGCACTATATATTTAATAAATACCTACCTGGCAACATATGCAAAATCACAGTCTGTCACTTTCAATAATCACACGCAAAATGTAAAGTTAAATGGCAGAGAATACAGATTGCAGGCTGGTGACCTGGCTTGCTGTGTTTGTGATTGTGAATCTAACCCTAACTAATATTGCCTTGTCTGTAAATAAACAGTGAATTTGAGTGAGTTTTTTTTATAGGATTTTTGTCATTGTGTTCATCTGTTTCTGCGTCCTCCACTGCTCACCAACGTCAGCTTACACCTCTACTTTAAATACCATCAAGTAGTGCTATCCCATTCTTTTTAATTCACACTATATATTAAAATAATTTCAGATAATGAATATAATTTTATGACACAGGTGCTGAAATTCAAATTGAAGAAGTAACTGCTTATGAGGGTAAAATAACTGTTTATAACAAGTGAATTCACAAATCTGACTGGCCCACATGCTATTTAAAATATTGGTCCACACATCTACAAACACACACATTAGTCTAAACCGGCGCAGCAGTCTCTTGTGTCTCTTCTTACAGCCCACTTGCCCAGCTGTTTGGCCTGTGGCATTATTTGTTTACTTCCTGCTTCTAGATGAGTGCACTGCACTGTGGGGAGAACCAGCCTGCAGTCTGCTGGAGCGTCAGCAGCCAGTCGCTGGTTTTCATTAAATCAAACTCTCTGTCGCACACTGATGATGATATCCCCAGGGACTTAACCTGTGAGACACTGGCAGTATTCCATTCATCCACATCACATGACAAAGTGACTCGTCAGTCATGGTTCACAACATCTCAGCTGGCCAGTGAGACACTGCTGTGTTTCAAGTTGTGTCACAGCGCTCCCTGCAACCATGGCTATTGGACAATTAATTTTGTACAAATATATATATATTTGTACAAAATTAATTGTGTGTGTATATATATATATATAACATCAAGAAAAAGGAACATGAATAGCTGGAAATATACTACGGACTGAAAGACGAGCTAGAAAATATGTTGAGTTATAATAAAATTATTCATAATTTGTGATTTATGCATTACTGAAATAAAAACAGTTGCACTGCGGAGAGAAGTTACAACAATATTCTACATAAACCAACGTTTTTCTGCCCCACAGCGTAATATTTCATTAACTGCATGTCATTTCGCTCCACGGTAATCCAGCAGAGACCTAATTTATTGATATTATTTTCAATATCGATCTTGCTCAGGGATGGGCAACTGGCGGCGCATGGAAGCCAGGAGCACTAACGAACCAGCGGAATCGACGGTTCTAGCTAACGATCCCAGAGGTTAAACAGCTGAGTTTCCCTCCCAGTCAATCAGAACTGAAGAAGTCTCTTGGATGAGGGACGAAACGTCTTCTAGTATCTTCAACCAAGTCCAGTTGCCCTTGACCTCATCCTTCGTTGGATAACTATGACCTGGATGACTGAGGACCTTCACAGACATCGTCGAGTCTTGTAGTGCAACTCTACTGGCCAGATGATGGACACTTTCTGATACTGATAGCTTTTTAAAAACAAAAACAAGTACTCAAGTAGAAGTAAAAGTAGTCATCAAAAGTACTAGATATTCGCTGCTAGTGCTATTTAAAAGCCATACTACTATGTCTGGAGGAAACCAGGCACCACTCCTCACCCGGCCGATCCCATCCCTACAGTGAAGCATGCTGGTGGCAGCATCATGCTGTGGGGATGTTTTTCTAACGTAGGAACTGGGAGACTAGTCAGGATTCAGGGAAAGATGAATGTAGCAATGTCCAGAGACATCCTTGATTAAAAACCTGCTCCAGAGACCTCAGACTGGGGCCAAGGTTCACCTTCCAAAAGGACAATAACCCTAAGCACACAGCCAAGGTAACAAAGGATTGGCTACAGGACAACTGTCTGAAGGTCCTTGAATGGCCCAGCCAGAGCCCAGACCTGAACCCGACTGAACATCTCTGGAAAATAATGATTTTCATCCATTTTGGAATAAGGACAGATTTACATTTAGCTGACGCTTTTATCCAAAGCGACTTACAACTGCTATACATGTCAGAGGTCGCACACCTCTGGAGCAACGAGGGGTTAAGTGTCTCGCTCAGGGACACAATGGTGGAAGGGTCACAGAGGGGGATTGAACCTGGGTCTCTCACACCACACGCATGTGTCTTATCCACTACGCCATCACCACCCAATAAGGCTGTAACATAAAATACAGAAAAAGTGAAGCTCTGTGAATACTCTCCAGCCCTTCACACTTCCAGACAGGAGGAGTGAGGCTGTTTGGTCACACCAAATATTGATTTGATTTTCTTCTGTTCACTCTCTTTGTATTTTGTTAACTGATCAACATAATCATGTGTATTGTTGAAAGCATTCTTACTTTACAGCATTCTTCCACACCTGCCTATAACACACTGCTGTATGTGCTTCCCCTGCTATAAAAACACTTACTTCTAAATGAGACACAGATTTTTCTGTACTACTACTTGGGATTATTTGTAAAACACATTACAATTGTACACATTTCAGTAAGTAAAACAAATTACTTTACTGATTCTCAGAGGGGGGAATTGATGTAGTACAGCAACACAAAAAATAAACGTCAAAGGAGGTAGGGAATAAATAAAGAACTACTTAAAATAAACACAAGAAAATAAGAAGACCGAGTAAATGTCATTTCAAACCATCTGCTTATGAGAATATATGTAAAGAGTCTGCTGGCCTTACTGAGGTAGAATTGTGTTTATATTCTATTAATGCAAAATACAGCTTTATATGAGTGTTAAAAGCAGCAGTCTGGGCCTTCTCATAAACCCAATAACATTGTTTCTCAACATCATATCTGTCCTAAAAATGTCCTTTACTACATCGAGCGCCACAACAGACTTCACTTGCTACCACCCACAAAATTGATGGACAGTTTCTGGTACTGATAGGTCTTTAATAATTGATGTGTGTAAAATGTTAGAAAGCAAGCTGTAAAAGAAGCAACAATAGCTTCCCTTGTAGAGGCCACAGGGCTGTACTGAATCTCGACCCAATAAATTCTGTGCATGAGGAAAATCATTCTGTAGATCATGTTAATCAATCTCAGAGAGTCGGATTCAGAAGGCCCGCTAGATGATTTATAAAGTCATAACTGAGGGAGACTGGGCTGCGAAGTTTAAGGTTTCTTTGGCTGCTTTGACTGCTTTGAACCAGAATCTGAAGAATGTATCATACCCTGCTACCAAATGATGCTTGAATTCTAATCAAAAACAAAACTGTGCATACTGGTATAGTGGGGAATACTCTACAGTTATCAGTTACTTGGACGGTGTTGGGGCGGCATAGTTCAGGAAGTAGAGCACAGTGATGTACAAGAAATAAACATAAAACAAGTCAATGTACAATCAAAGGAAAAATAAATGAATTCAATAGATAAAACATAAACAAGTCAATATACAAAGAATGGAAACACATTGAAAGCTGGTTTTTTGTTGAGGAGATCAAAGTGAGCATAAAAGGTGTTGAGTTCATCTGGTAATGTGGCCTCACACCTCAGAATCAGAATTTGTCTCTGGATTTATACTCACTCCAATAGAAATAGAATTTATCTCTATTGGAGCGAGCCATGATAGGGGAACTCCTGCTTTTGTAGCCTGTGATGTTTTGGATGGCCTGCCACATATCTTTGGTGATGCTGGTGTTGAGCTCTCTCTCCAGTCTCTTTATCATCCGACCGGAAAGCAGCGTTTTTTGGCTCTGGACAGAGCCCTCACCTCTCCATTCATCCAGGCCTTCTGATTGGGGAATGGTTTTTACCATTATGATTATGATCACCACATCATCAACACATTTGCTGATGTAAGACTGATGGTGTATATTCCCCAAGGTTGATGTGGCTCTCCTGGGCGGCGGATTTTCTGAACATACTCCAATCCGTGCTCCCAAAACAGTCACGCAGAGCTGCTGTAGATTCATCTGTCCACACTTTGACTGTTAATTTAACATTTCAACCATTTTTTAGATATCAAGATGTGTCTTTGATGAGGATCTTCTGCCATTCAAGGACGACTCAGTACCTAATCTCACAGCCTATTATCACCAGAAGACATATGAATAAGACGCCGATTTCTTAAGTCATTTTGCGTGGAATTCCAATGCTTTTCTTTTGCTTTTCACATGTCATTTCACACCATTTAGATTTTACTGACTTATATCGTGCATTTTCACACCAACTGTCACAGGGAAAGGATCAGGTGT